GGTGACCAGGTGAATGATGAGCCACTGGCTGATCTAGAAAGCCACTTTAGAAAGGAAGATGACACGCCGAATGTGTTTTCCAAAGAGGGCCGCAGCATCTTCCCTTATGAAACATGTCCCTGCCATTTCCCCAAATAAGAGGGAAGCTGGCTCTCCTTACCATGAATCTGGGCTGACCTTACTGACTTTTTTTGACCCAGAGGACATGATGCAAGTGGCACCTTAGCATGTCCAATACCCAAGAAACCTTGCCTCTGGGCATGCTCCCACTTGGGACTCTCCTCTTCCGGACCACCTGCTACGTTCTGAGAAGCACAAGCCCCCCAGAAGGCCACGTTGAGATGCTCCATTTGGCAGCCACCATGGAGCTCCAGCCAACGGGTGGCATCCATTGCCCGCGGGCGAATGAGCCACCCTGGACTGCCAGCTCCGGCCCAGCTGGCATCTGAAAGCAACTGTGTGAGAGACCCAGGCGCAAACACAAGACTGGCCTAGCCCATCCACAGAACCGTGAGAGATGATGACAAATTGTTTTTTTTTAAGCCACTGAGTTTTGATGTGCCTTGTTATGCAGTAACAGACAACCAAAGTAGTCGACGGATTCCATCGTAGACAATGAGATGCTTGGAAGACAGACAGGTGGACACGCTCCAAAGCCACTTGGATAGGTTTCCTACTGCTGATATGTGAAGTTCGAGGGCAGAATCTAGGCCGCACTTCTCGATTTGGGAGCACAGCACACAGAATGCGAGCGAGGCCAGAAGAGTGGATGGGGGGGGACCCAGCGTGACTGTATTTTGAGGAGAACAGAGTCCTGAGCATCAGCCGTGGCTGGGGATCGAGTGGAGAAAGGGGAGGAGACTTCACAAACTGAAACGTCACCGCCGAAAAGCCAGGAAGAAAGTGCATGTGGAAGCGGGATCCCAGAAGCCACGGGGAAAGAGTGTGTCAATGAGGAGGGGTGGGCGAGCTATTCAATAACGAAGGGGCAGAAGGGTATGCAGCGGCGCTGCTGACACAGCGCCAGGTGACTCCGGGAGACAACGGCCGTCCGAGGGGTGGCGGCAGAGGAGAGTCACGAGAAAGGAGCCAGGCGGTGACGGGAGAACTGGGGGGTAAAGAGAGGAAAACCGTGACTGACCAGTTCAAGAAGGCTGGCTGTATGGGGAGAAGAGAAGGACAGGGCGGAGCTGGAATGGGAGGCAGACAAAGATTTATTTATGCATTTTTTAAATAAATTCATGTTTTTTTAAAAAGATTTTATTTATTTATTTTTAGAGAGGGAAGGGAAGGAGATAGAGAGAGAGAGAGAGAAACATCAATGTGCAGTTGCTGGGGGTCATGGCCTGCAACCCAGGCATGCACCCTGGCTGGGAATTGAACCTGTGACACTTCGGTTCACAGCCCGCGCTCAATCCACTGAGCTACGCCAGCCAGGGCTTTATTTATGCATTTTTAAAAGATGCCCCATGGTCTCCACATGTTCCAGTGTTGATTGGAAGTGTCAGTGGAGGGGCGCATTTTGAAGACTCAGGACGGGATCAAGAACACGCATGGAAGGAGGGACTTGGACACGGGGAGCACAGGGTGAGGGAATAAGTCCGGATGCACACAGGAATGGACGTTTGTTTAGGGGAACTCCGGAAGAGTTCCGTTTCTGTCACTGTTGGATGGAACACAAGGTCATCAGCCGGGAGGGCTCAAGGACTGGCGTTCCGACCCCAGTGGAAAAAGATTCAGAATAATTGCTGGGAAGAATTTGCGAGGGAAATACAGCCGGGCTGCCAGACGGCTGAGGTCGGCGAACCAAGAGATGGGCATTGTTAGTCCTTCTTCACGCGTGAGGACATCGGGGCTCAAAGAGGTTACGTAACTTGCTCGAGGTCACAAAGTAAATACAAGAAGGGGCTGCAGCTTGAATCGAGGCCTGGGATTCCTTCCAGTCCATTGGGCTCACTGAATTCCTTGGTCCAGGGGAGCGAGTTTTGCCTCTGGAAAGAGGCTGGTGTTGGAGCTAAAAACCCCACGCTTGCCTCTTTATGCTCGTGGCCCACTTCCACCCGTTTGCCCGATGTTCTGGGTTTCCAGCCTCTCGTCTGCAGTCAGCGGAGCTCCCAGGAGTCACTGGGAAAGGACCAGGGCCCACAGCAGACATGCTCCCTTTAAACACTTGATCCCCCCGAGAGGCATCTTTCAGCACTCGCTGAAAAGCAAGCAGGGAGTTTCCTGAACCCTTAGCGCCACGACTGCTCCGCAGAATTATATGTATAAAAATAAGGATAAAATAGGCTGCATAATGAGAGCGCTGCATTGATGCAGAAGCTGTAAAGTAATTGCTCATTATGCTCAGCGCAGTGAATTCTCCTAGTGAGCTTTGTTCGGGAAGCGGAGGCTTTCAGAAGGGTGCGGTCTCCCAGGATTTCTCAGGAGGGGCTGTGATCGGCTCCTCTGGGAGGTCCGGGAAGCTGAAGCAGTGGCTGAGGGACGGGTCCGCCGTGGAGGCCAACGGCAGAGTGTCCGAGGCGCCTGCTTCTCGCAAACACAGCCCGCCCGTGCCCTCTGCACCTGGGTCTGTAAGCACGTTAGAGGTACACACCAAGCATCCCTCTTTGGAAAGACGGAAACAAAAGTTCCTCTCAATTTAGGGTGCTCTGGGCTGCTCCAGAAATCATGAAGAAGACCCAAGGGACTATTATTTGTACCAGGTCTGAGCCCGGAGACAGGGACATTCCTTCAGACCCCTCGTCTGGATGGCAGCTGGAGTGTCCAGACTCGTTCCGGGGTGCCTGCTGGCTGTCGCTCATGTGGCCGGCTGGGAAGACGGGAACCTGCCTCACATGCAGGCACACCTGTTCTACAGGTGCGCACCAGCTGCGTGCAGGGCGTTCTCTGGTCCCGAAGGCCACCGCAGCCCCTCTCCGAGAAGGGGGGAGGGGTGCCACAGCAGTGTTGCTGAAAGCATAGGGCACAATCCCTGGTAAACGGTGAAGTTACCTGAGCGAGTTCCAACCAGCACGTGGGTAAATGCGAAGCGCAATGACACGGAGCAGGACACCCAGGGTGCACGTCCCCACAGGAGGATGCGCGTTACTTTAGGAAACACCTCAGACGCGTGTGTGAGTGAGTGTCTGTGTGAGTGTGGAGGGAAGGAGCACTTCCTGCTGCAGTTGTGGCGACCAGTTCGAAGTCTATCAGCTCCGCTGAGATTCCTGAAGCCGTATTTACGCGCTGTTCTTCCAGACGTCGGGGGCTGAGAGCATTCCAGATAGTCAATCCCCGGGTTGTCCTAACACTTTCTTGCAGGTCTGAACTACGAAGCGTGACAAGGGCACCGAGCCAACAGGGGAAGAAGCTGGGGTTCGAATGCTGGCCGCTGTGAGCCCAGGAAGGCTGACCCTCCCGGGTGAAGGAGGGGCAGGCTCCGCCCCTGGCGGGAAGGAGCTCAGCCCACCACCGCCTTCCCCAGCCGCGCTCTCTGAGCCCTACGAAACTTGCAATGAACCGTGACACGTACACAGTTAGGACGTTTTAAGGTACATAAAACATCTAAACGTTTTTCTCTTTCATAGAACGTGTGGTTAATAAGAGCTAACGGGCCATTTTCACAACCAGCCACCTGAAGACAGTCTACATGTCGATCTGCATACGCCAGAAGTACATACTCTTGGTTTCCGTGCGGGTACTAGGAGTGTTCCCGTGCGTATCATCGTTGTATACAACAACAAGTGTTTAGAGTCACTCTGCTTTATTTCATCGAGATTCCCCACCAAGAGTTTTAATTAGGGAAGATGTTTCCTCTCCTCTCTAATCCACGGTGCCGCGACAGCCATGCTGCCTTCCGGTGCGGTGGCCCATCTGCCACCAGCTCCGGGTTTTGGGGACCATGTAGCCCTGGGTATCAGAGGGTCCCATACAGGGGGCAGGGAGGGGCATTCATTATGACTATGAAAATCTAATAAAATTCCTCAGCCTCCCGAAGAAAGAAGCATCATATAGTATCATCGTTAAAATGAAACAGAAGTTAGAAAATTAAAGCACAAAAATAGAGTAAAAACTTTAGTCACAGTCCGTGGGTACATGTAACCCAGCAGCATACACATACATATAAATAAGCGTTTTATATGTAAATATATAATAGCTTCTTTCTAATCTTGCAAAGAAACCAGCCACATGAGGAGGAACATAATTGATGCCAAAGCAGAATACAAATGCCACAGCTAAGAAGAAAACAAGAGGAAGAAACGCCAGGGAAATGCTTACAGGCGAACGATGCATTTATCATGTGACAAAAAAGGTGTCTTGATCTGGTTGTCCTGAGATATAAAGTATTATGACATTTTGCAAAAAAGTCAGAGGATGCCAAAAGCCAAGATATATATACATAACATATATAAAAATAATAGGCAGGCATATGTAATAGAAATATACATACATATGAATACATTTTCCTGGCTGTGTATATTGGAGAAATGAAATATAGCATTCTGGGAGTTTATGTTGGAAAAAATGAGATGCAACCTCTTAAATTTCATTTTTGATGCAGAGTTAATTGATTTGAAAGTCTGGTGGCTTGAAGTGCAAACTTTTGAAGGGTTAGAGAAAGGGCAAGCAGAGGAAAGGTCAATAAATTGTGATCCTTTAATGTCTTCTGTATTTAAAAGCGTTTATAACAAAATAAATACAGTGATCCAACACCACATAGTAGCTGAGTGCAGAAAGCATAATACATCCCAGGCAATAGGAGATGATACGCTGAATCACAATCTATTTACAGACTAAAAATAAAACAAAACACACACCTGGAAAAGGTGGAAAGGCCTAGCTATCGAATCAAAATGGAAAAAAGTAAATGAATTAAAACCACTCATTAAACTATGACCTCTGTAATTTCAAAACCCTTTCTCTCTCCCACGTAAAACTAGACACAATGCAGGTAAAAATGAATCTACGGAAAGAGGTGTTTCAAAGGACAACACGGGGCACACGGTCCCCTCCCTTACCGTTGTCGCCAGAAGGCAGTGACACAGTGTTCGTTGGCATGGTGTCCGAATTCACTTTCCCGTTCTCGAACGTGTCATTTTCCGTCTGCTGCAACTGCCAGTTGAGGCCAAATAGGTGCATTGCTGGGGGCGAAGAACACAGCTTGTTTAAAGGTCCGCTGCTTTCAGCTGCCAAGCAACTGGTAAACATGTTGATAACAAACAAGAGTTTCCTGTAAAGTTAAAACGTCCATGGTCTGAAATGCCACGGTTAATTGTGTAATAAAATCAGAAAACAGCTCCTCACGCCGACGCAACTGAGGCAGCAACGCAGGGCAACACGGCAGCGCTTTAACGATGCTCTGCTATTGATTACTCAGGTAATCGGGACCAGGCAGCGTTTACACGTGAATGGTGGTCTGCACTGTGTTGAGCGTTCCAGTCACCACCATCACTGAACTAAGTGGCAGAATGCTCTCCAGCAGTGCTTGCCGAACTTACTTGTCCGCAGCCGCTCCCGCGTGTGGGATACTTTGTTGCAGCCCCTACAGGATCTCAAGAGACATCAAGCTCTTCATTGCATTAAGGTAAAAACTAAAAACTGGTCTCGCAGATGAATGTGTTGGCATGTGAAATGATCAGAATGGATACAGATGCACAAAATATAATATTTGACTATCCTAAATTCAGGATGAATTTATTTAGAATTTATTTAGAACAGTTCCACAATGCTACAGATCAAGCAACATGTATAGGGGTCAGATAATTTCACGTAGAGTTTCCGACATGGGTATGATAATCTTATAAATTTACAAAAAACTTGTTTACTAACTTTATTTAAACTATTAACTAGAAGACTGTAGAGTCATAAATCTGATTTAAAAATTGTATGTATTATTTTCCTTAGTGTATTTAAAATATGCAGAATCATCATCATCGTTATATTAACCACTGACACTTATTAAACATTCATTTGTGCTCCAGAAAGTGCCGTTTAGGAATTACTCTCTACGGAAGGCTCAACAGGGAAACCAGTGAGGGCCCTAGGCACCATATCACACAAGAGAATGTTTCCTTCTCCTCGTGTGACGTCATTTACTTCCCGGACGTGTGGGAATTCAGCAGAGAGCTGGAGAGAGACCCGCGTGTCTGAGAAAGAACGTCAGAGACCGTGAGAACTGCTGCTGCCGGGAAGCCCTCGTCCCGTACTCAGCCTGTGGAGGAACAGTGCGAAAGCTGGGCTCCCAGTCCAGGACTCCGCCCTGGACAAACGATGGAACACTGTTGTATATTAGGTTTACTAAAAAAAAAAAAAATGAGATTGGTTAAACCTACCTTGCTCAATCAACGGGAGCCTTCTGGGCAGGATATATATATGGAGGACAGCTGGAGAGTTCTTGGCACATACGCATTTCACTGGTTTATTCTTTACTCTAGATCATGGACCTATGGGAAGTCACCTCTGCAGTGCCCTCCGTCCCCTGGGAGACGCCTGCGCTTCAGCAGGCGGGGGCCCACTGCCCGGGCAAGCCTGCTCCACGGCGCTGAGCACCCGCCCCGCCCCCGTGTCCATTCATGTTTGTGCCTCGGGCACCTGGTGCCGCACCCGGCACCCAGCAGGTCTCGGGAAGTGTCTGTCAACTAAGTGAATTCTATTTTCTGAGGTTTCAAAATCTAAGAAAGCACCGTTGTGAATAACAAATACGTAGTAATTTTAAAAAGTTAATACCTATAAAGCTAACACATACATGGCTAAGACGAGAGTACGAATTATTCATAATTATTTGATTGCCTCCGTGTCACACGGGAAGTAGGCGAGGGAAAGTCCACGAGTATCACAAAAAATTGAATGAATTTTTTAAAAAGATTCAACAACAGCCTGGGGACCTTCCATGACCAGTCTCACGTCCTTTTGTTAACAATGTCTGATACAAAATCAAAATGTAGTAAGAAACAGGCCAAGCAGAGATGCAAACACATTGCAGCTACATCTACCCCGTGTATTTGTAACCGATGTTTGCACTTATACTCCCTGCTTGAGTTACAGTCTGCCGGTAACTCCTTTGAACCTCTGATTTTTCAAGGATTAAGATATTGTTATGAAATTCTTGAATTTACAAATTGTCAATGTGTAAAGAGGTATAACTTCGTATGTCGCTTTTTGCATTAAATTATGTAGCATTTGAGTGGCAAAATGTCAAGAGCTTTCTAAACATTTATCGCTTCATACATTTTTCAAGCTTCTGATAGATATTTCGGTAATTTCTGAATAAAACAGTGGGAGCTGCTTGTGCGGAGTAGAAGGTTTGACAGACGCACTTGGGCAGAGCGACTACCGTAAATATTCCAATATGGTCAGAGTTCCCACACAGAATAGTGTATCGTCATTGTGTGCCGTATGTAACATAGAAAGTCTTCTCGCAGATCTGCTCATTTTACTGGTTTAAACAGACTTGGAAGGGGAGAGGAAATCCAGGGGCTAATGCACAGATGCCAGGTGTTAAAGATTAACGGTGCATTTGTGGTTGGAAGCTATTTCATTTTTTTTTTTGCCAGATGAACATCTTACTATGTATTTTTTATTACAGAAAATCTCAATAAAAGGGGATTTCAGTTTTACTTAAGACAGTGCATAATGAGAACCACGCCCAATGATAGTAAATCTCATTAACACGGCTTCGAAAACAGAGCCCAGCAAGTTGTTTGGTCTTAGCATAGTCCGTCCTTTGGAAATACTGCTGTTTGGAATCTAGTGAAGGCCTTGACACTTCTTATGTGTCATTTAAGATGTTTATGCAAAAACAGGGTGTTACTGAGACTGGTTCCCTACAAAGTCAGTGGGGAGAGAGAGAAAGCGGGGGTGGAGACCTAGAGGGGCGGAGGCAGCAAACGCATAAAAGTCAAAATGCTGCGGCAATCACTAGGCACCGGCACCCCCCTGCAGTGCCCCAGTAGACCGCACGGAGAACCGAGAACCGTAGGGAAGAAATCACGTCTGCACGTGAGGAAGGTCGGGGACCAGCCTGCAGGGCCTCCGCCGGCGCGGATGGGGGCGCTGTCCTCCTCGCTGCACAGCCGGCCCCTGGCTGCTTCGCGACCCAGCGGAGGTGGAGGCGTGTCCAGAGGCGGCTGACGTCCTCCTGAACGTGCTCCCTCCCTCTAGGGAAGGCCCTTCTGGGAGGTGCAGCTCAGCCTACGGACCAGAGGCGATATGCAACCGCAGATACCCTAGCATCCGAGAGCCACGAAGAAGTTAAATTTGGAGAAAGGCTTGTGCAACCAGGGTGCAAATCCAAGAACGCTACACTGAGGACACTGCTGCTACTCGAGAGTCAGGGAAACCAGAAGTGGAAGAGAAACAGCTTAGAAACGTGGTCTTTCAGGATTGTGAAAAAGAGCAAGAGGACGAAACAGAAGACCCAACCCAGGGTGGCGAGACCCCGGTGCGGGAACCAGGGAGCGCCGTGTCATTGAGCACAGTGTGTGTCCGGGACACCGCACCTGCCACGTGTGAAGGAGAAGATGCAGTCCGACCAAATAACGTGTAGATTCTACACCGAAAGAGCTGACGTCGCTAACACCAGTTAGGCGTTCTCGGCATCTTCGAGACAAGACCTCTGAACCGCCCGATAGGCTCAAAGGCCATTATTATCCCTGCGTGTCTCCATGGGCACAGGCAACAGGGTTGGGAGATCCGAGTGACGCTTTTCTGGGCTGCCCCGATGCAGCGCTGCGCCCGCTGTATTTGGGGACCTAAACAACAGCAGGCAAGTAAGGGCATGATGAGGAAGAACCAAGGGAAGAGTCCAGCAACCCTGTGGTCTTCCGAGCCCCTCCCCACCCCGGGAAGTGAGCGGGTGGACAGCTTAGGGGCCGAGGCCCAGGCTCGCAGCGACACCAGGCGTCTCTGAGCCACAGACACGCTCCCCGTGGCCGGAGTGAGAACCCTGTGACACAAGCCTGAGAAAACGTACAACAGCCACCGAATGCTGGCTGTGTACCAAGTGTCGGGCAGGTATATTAATGCACCGTCTCACTGAATCTTCACGAAGACTCCACTGAATAGTGACCGTCACCTTTTTTCCCCCTTTAAACCTCAGAAAATGGAGGTTTACACAAGCCTCCCTTACTAAGCAAGTAAGGGGAGGGCATCTTGACCTTGAACCCAGGCCTTCTCCTAACAAAGGGCACACCCTGACCCTCCTTTCTATTCTGCCACAGGGCCTTGAACTGTGACAGGCACCAGGAAGAAAGTGAAGTGCAAGTTCTGCAAGGCCCACAGGCCACGGAGGGACACTGCTTCCCTACGAGACCCGGGGAGCTGTGGCAGGGACAGTGCTGGGGGTGGGCGCGCAGGGCAAAGGCATCGGTAGGTAGCCTTTGTGTGTTCCGGGCACTGTTCTTCCAGATCAGTACCCGTCCACCGCGCTTATATTGTCCTAAAAGAAACGTTGACAGTAATATGACGAGGGTTGTGATGAAGCAGGCTATTTCTTGTTAACTCCAAGTGTCTTAAAAACAACTCAAAAATGACATAAGTAAACATTATGCTCGTGAATTTTAAAGTTGTAGAAATAGTATTCATGTAGATTTACTCTTTTAAAAATTTTGTTTATGACATCATGTTTTATAGTTTTCTATTGTTATTTCCACAGATTTCTAGGTGATTTTAAGGGTGCGAGGGGAGTCCCTGGATGCATATCCAAAATGTGATCCAAGGAAGAATGGAATTTGGAGATGCTGGTACTAATATATGTCTACTCAGTGTGGTTTTCGCATTTTAAAATAGCTTGTGTCTGTTATCTTCCAATGATGCAGCCTGTGACGAAGACCACGGTCGCTGTTGTAAGAGGATGAGACACAGGCAGAGAGAGCTGCCCAGCGTCTTTGAAGAAGTCGCTGTGTAAGAAGACTCGCGATGCTGCCTCTCCTGATTTCGGGGTTCCTTTACCCGCACTCTGCGGTTTTCCTACTTCCCTCAGTTGCACTGAATTAAGATGGAACATTCCCTTCCAAGACATTTTTAAAAATTTAACACCAATCGTTGATTTATCTCTTTTTCTGACAGTAGCAAATACAATCAGACGTTGTCTATTTGCTAACATTGGCTTCTAAATACAAGGCATTTACCAACGATAAATGGT